ATCTTACCAAACAAGATTGGAATGAAAATATAAACGCTTTCTAAAAAAATCCAAAAATATAGTTTATACGAGAAAAATTTATCACTTAAAGCAATTGAAATAGAACATTTTGCCATCTGAGAAATTTCCCTTGAACTACACAGGGTCCACCCAGTAATGATTATTTACCCGTTGGAAAAGTATTTCTCCCAAAACCGTTTTCTTCAAATTATCCCACAGAAAAAACCAGCCAAACAAATATTTATGGACGTAAACCTAACTGGTCAGTCAGGAGTAAAACTATTATAATAGTTATCCTTTTAAATCAGTACTATATTTTGACTTTCACCTATTTCAAGTAAGTTTTAAATCGATTTTCTGCGGCCGAGAATAAATGTAATTAGTTTGGTCGAAATAATTTTATAGAAAATTGTGCTGTGCGTAATACCACGCAGTGTAGTCTTTATTTATGTTAGAAATAAATGAAAACAAATAATTCAGATCATATTTTAAAACAAGAGTTTTTGTTCTGATTGTCATGATATAAACAGTATGTAGTTTAAACTATGCGTATTGAATACATATAATATGTCATAAACACACTTTAATTGGTATATTGACGTACGAGTGCTAGGAGTTTTAAAATTACAGCCTTTAACAAATCTGGAGACGAGGTCACATCCTCCAATAAATCTTTAAGTTTCCAATGAGTTGTTTATGTGTTTTATCAGCCTCTGCGTTTGAGAATTTATACGAAATAGATTGTTCTTTAAAAGGAACACGCCTGAGTGACATTTTTATACTTAGCATAAAAATGCGAGGCTAAAGGTTAATAACCATTTAAATTTCCTTTTCGAAAAAAATAAAATCCGCCTCACGGGGGCTCTAAAAGTTAATTTAACATGCTGACAAAAAGTCCGTTTTTTACTGTTATTTGCTACGGAAACGCCGACCTGACGGAAGTGATTTCCAAATGAAAATTCAAATAGGAGACGGTGAAAATTGGGAAACATTCAATTGCAATATTCAAACTGGTTGGAACGTCGGTTTGTCCAGTGGTGACGCAAGACCGATCCGAATCCATCCAAATGGTCTTAAGGCCAGGAATCCAAAACGGAAGGCTGTTATATAACGGATGGACCGTGTGTAAATTGAGACTGAGAAGATCCATTGATTGCGTCTCGTGAGACGATATTTACGTAACACTGTCTCTTGAAACACGTGTAATTTTCCACCAGACCTCTTAGTCAAACATTATTACTATTGCAAAAAATATTTAAAATTTAAAAATGTTTAACGTTACAAATACAGCCTCGAACAGTGGTAGCAGATCCACGGACCTTTGGGTTACGGGCCCCAACATGAATCAAACCACAAATAATGGAAATCTCGTTGATCAAATATGGCACCAGTAAATTTCCAAAATAATTCTTCAAAATTGAATCAAAATAATTTTAATCTAAATTTATAAGAAGTACGTCGAACATTACAATTCAAAGCAAAATCTTATATTTATAGGATCATAGGCTCGTAAAGAAATCGGAAATAAGCATAAATTCGTTATTTCCACTTACCTCAAGGCACAAAATGTACCAGTAATTGGAAACAATAATTTACACTCTCACGGAAGTAGAAAGAAAAAAACCGTTTTCACACTTTCTCAATAACATAGTACATAACTAATGACAAACTTACTTATTTTCCATTTGTACGTTGCCAAATAAGGAAGACCTAAGATAGTACAAGTTTTAAGTGATTTAATACCGCAGGAAACCGCTCGATTTCTTCTATAGATAAAAAATAAACATTCACCGAAGGTTTAATTTTTCGAAGTAAACAAGAGCAGTACCTAATGACATTTGTTTCCTATTACACCACAAAGCAAACCGTAGTAATTTTTACACGCATTTACGAAAAATGGCGGTAATATTATTTGAAAATTAAACATCTGCATTAAAATTTGGGAGCAGTTGAGCTGCACGCCATTTTGCATAGTACTGAGGAAAAAGACATTAGTTTAATTAATAATGTGTCACAGATAAAGTGAAGATTTATGTTTCCTAAGATATGTTTTTGTAAAACATTTTTTCAGGATCAAAAGTAGTCAAGCCTGTTTGATGAAAGGCAATTGTGTCACTTCTCAGGCTGGTGACAGGCAGGTTGACGGAGGTAAATACATATTTAAACGTTTGAACTACATAAACAATTATGTCGTGTAGACGTAGAATTTTCAAGTTTTATTGCTGACATGATTTTAATTTTTGAAACAATGTAAAACTTAATTCTATTTTCTTGAGCAGAGGGATAATCGATAGAGAAATTACCGTACAAATATCGAGACCGGCTATTATCGTATTTTCGGTCTTATGGCCATGCAGACGTTCACATGACATACACCGTATCGTAAAGTGTTCCAAACTGACAAAATAACAGCCCAGACAATTTTTTCCCATCTCACTGTATATATTAAAATGCCTTACCAACTTTAATAGAAGCATTAACATAAATCAGGACCCGAACGAAAAAAGTAGGATTTATGAGCTTTACTCAAGCCAGCAATTTCGTATGACGGAAGCCGGTCGGACAGCTCAATTGTTCAGCGCTACTTAACCTGCGCTTCCGCTCTCTGATGTGAACTTAAACTTAGAATAAAGTAAAAAAAAAAACATTTTTTCGTCTCTTGATTTTAAACTACAACGTTAAAACATTTTTCAAGTTCTTACTGCTATCATATTTACACTATCCAAAATTTATTCTGGAAAAAGAGAAAAACGACATCTTTGACTTGAAACACCGCATTCTAGAATTAATTATATTTGGTCTATTTTTAAAGATAGCATATTCCCGTTTTAATATGCAAAATAAATGCATATTTTAATAGGATAAGTAAAATTTTTTTTTTTCACTGTATAATATACACTGACAGGCAAAAAATTACACCCACTGTAATAGCACTGCAATATAGCTTGATTTTTATATATTTTTATACATTAATCAAAGTTTTACGTTGTTTAACGTTTAATAATTGAGTCTATCTAAAAAAGTTTAAAAAAATGTAAATTGCTAAAGAAAATGAAAAAAAGGCCGACAGATAAAATTTGTTTTACATTTTTAATTAACATTTCAATATCGCGTATTTCCTTCTTTTGTCTTTATTTCATCTCGAAGATGCCTCGGCATACTTTCTACCAGTCTGGAAATGTCTCTTTGCTGGAGGTTAGCCCATTCTTCACGAAGAGCCCTTTAAAGATCGTGGAATATATCAGAAAGTGATGTCCGTGCGCTTATTCGTCTTCTGAGGTTATCCCATAAATGTTGGATGGGGTTCAAGTCTGGAGAACGGGCTGGCTAGGCTAAGACCCTGATGTTATGCTGTTGAAGGTACACGTTTGTACTATGCGAGCGACATGTGCATTATCGCGCCTAGAGTAGGATTGCCGTTCATTGCATCGAGGATAGGCAACGCATATGTTCCAAACTTTCATCCACATAACGAGTGGCCGTCAAAGACCCTTCACGAACACAACCAACTCTGTGCGACTTTCCATAGAAATTCCTGCCCACACCATCACTGAGCTACGTAGAAAAGGATGGCTCTGGGAAAAATTACAAGCTTCGTACCTTTCATTTCGCCTTAGCAACACTCTTTCACGCCCATTTGGAGATCGTAGAGCAAATCTACAGACATGTGTAAAAGTACAGCAGACCAATCAGCCAAAGATCAATGGCTGTGTTCTCGAGCAAATGAGAGCCATCAGTCCATTCTGATTTCATTTTCTTCGAGCAGTGCGTTCAGAAATTTGGACACCTCGAACTTCCTGTCGCTGATGAATCGCTTGACAGTAAGGTGCCGGTTTGGCAAAATTCACAGTCAAAAAATGGTCGTCCTGTAGTTCCTGTTACCATAGGGCGTCCAGATCGGGGCCTTCTATGGTAGGACCCAGTTTCTAGAAAAGTCTAACGGCGTCTCGCAGTGTTTCGTAGGGAACTCTGATGGCAAGAGCCGCATACCTCATGGAATGTCCATCATCAATAAGTGCCACACCAAGCTCAACATCCTCAGCACTAATTGGCATTTTTAAGTTTAAAAATTGAAATTAACTAGCAAAGATGAAAACTAAACAGTTTATTGCTTCAGAATTCAAATGAGACCCAATAAACATTTTAAATTCCGTAAAAATAAACATTGAAAAATTCTTTATCCTTGTTTTGGATTAAGGATTAAGTGTGTTTACATCTAATTGATATTCCCAATTTAAAACATAGCATAAACAAATATTTATTAATATAAAACAATGAGACAAATTAAGGGTAGAATTTTCTTTTATCGAGAAAATGAAAAAAATCAATTGGGGGAATTTTTTGCTTGTCAGAGTATCAAAACATGTCTGTTGCATAACAATTCCCTCCAGATTTGAACAATAACGATTTTTTCTAACTCTCAACACGACACGCAAGGATAGCACAATTACACAGAAGACAAACACTTTGAGCCCTGAAGATGATCTCAATAAAAGATGGAAACGTTGGCACGATAAAGAAAATGTTTTTCTGAAACCTACATCACACCCGACCGCATCTCACGATACCTGAATAACTATCGATTAACGGTCACTAATCTCTACACATTTTTTCTAACCTTATCTTCCTATTACTTCACATTCCACAGTGTCTGTTCTACCGTCCAGGCTACTGTTTCCTATAACATAACAACCTCATAGTGTTATTTGTAGTCAGGCTATGCTCGATATCTTGTTTGGTCACAGTATTTCTGACATGCCTATATATAAGGAGAAGTAATTCTCGTATACACATCTCTACGACTTAACGTATAGTTACTTAGGCGATGGGACAACTTCATCTGGCCTGCATCTAAGATGCCCCATCTATGAGCATTGGTCTATTACCTTTCACTTTATAAATAAACATCATTTATGATAATAAGTAGTTAGTTTTTGACTGAATTTCCAAAGTTAAACATTTTCCATTTTGCTTGTCGGATATCATCAAATCAGGTGATCGAATAGCAGTTTTAACCGATTTCCTTTTTGAGTTGATTTTTTATTGTTATTGACGCTATCTTTATTCCTGCTAGGCGATGAGCAAGTACAAGCATAAAAAAGAGGAGACTTTATCTAAGGTAGGGCTAAGTTTGTTTTTTGCAAGGAACATATTTAGTACGTGATGTTTTAATGTAAGAAAAGGAAAGCACTGAAAATCAACTACAAGAAATGCATCTCGAGGATCAAACGGTACAAAGGTGTCACGAGCATTGTTGTTTCGGTGAAAGGCGAACTGTACGACACTTCTCTGGAAAATATGCACATAGCCGAGTTCATCAACTACAAATTCAACGCTATTGCGTCCAGGGTGAGGAGAGACATGAGGGACATCGACCCCATGGAGGACGTCAAGTGCATCCGTTTGACGACCAACTTCTACGAGGCGATTATCGGCCTCGGTGGGTAGGGTCATGATGTCATTATTGTCAATCGGTCCAACCTCCGTCCGTTTTCAGGTGGCAAGCCGGATAGAGAGTTCATGATATTCGTGACGCAAAAAACGCCTGATTCGATACCTCGGCCGCCCAAGAAGCCGAAACTGACCAGCGTTTACGTCAAACCGACCAACCCAATGAAACCGCTCCATTCGAGAAAGGACCCCGTTAAAGATTTACAGCTCGAGTGAGTATTCAAAGACTTGTCACAAGATTGGAAATAATTTCAGCATTTGAATAACCATTTATATTAAAGCGTAACATCAATTTTTGAACTCGTCGACACTGATCACTTTACTGAATCCGTCTATTCTCGCCTGTTACATCTCACAAGACTCTGTTCTTCACTGAAGATGACGAGAAGCCAAAAGGCTTTTACGCGTAGGCATTGAGAATAGACTATGTATAGTGATAACTGTCAATCAGTAAAGTATATGTAACATTACATTAACTTTCGTAACAAGTAATTCAAAAGTACTTATTGTTAGGCCTGGTTGGTTGGTGGCCTTGGCTACCTTGTGTTAATTGCGTTTGTTTAAAAAATTTGCGATTAAGAAGTAATTAAGCCACCGAAAGTAGCAAATGCCCAACTTTTTTTTACTAGTTTTGCAGGAACAGATTTTATACATTTAAAATTATTCTAACACAATAATAATAATTTAAATGATTTTATACAAGCTATAAAAGAATAAGAAGCAAACTTAATAGTATTTTTCATATAAAAATAATACCAATTGTGTTAGATTAATTGAATAATTCTGGACTTATCACTGTTCAAAGATTGAACACTATTGTCCATTTTTGCCAGGTTCTTTAATGCCTAATGAAACATTGTTTGTCAAATAATCATCATTACATTATCTTATTGCCCTTGGGTCTAGTCCGAAGAAGAAATAACTCAGATACTTCATTAACTCCCTTCAAAAGCCTTTTCACCTTTCGAAACTAAACACGTCATCAGTCAACTCCCCTAATAAAGAATCCTGGATTTGATTATGTGTCAAGGAAAGCCCTATTTTTTCTTAAATCTGTAACTCTGTCTTGCGAACAACGTATTTCATGCCCTTTCGAAATTTTTAACTCTCATTCTTCTATCAAGTAAGGGAAAAAAAATTACTTCCTCCATCAAACCCCCCTGTAATGATACAAGTAATTAGTAAAATCCTCGAGCGTTTACTATTAAAACATAATCATTGAATCCCTAGAGTTACCAGTTTGGATTTATGTCACTCCCCCTACTCCCTAATCCATCAATGTCATCAAGTTGTGGTTGTAATTTTACTATTGCTTGAACAGAAGCAATAGTAAGTGTTTTCTTTGTCATTGCTCAAGCCTCGATAGGATTTAACACGCAGGACTGTTGTAGTAGCTGAAAGCATCCTAAACATCTACCATCATATTCTAAAATGGCACCCTTAATTCAAATTGAAACTGGGCACGACGATCTCATATCTATCCGATCCAGGATAACGTTTTACAAGGGAGCATTCCTGGACATTTCTTTTTCACGATATAAACTGCTGATCTTCCTGTCTTCCCAGAAACAATTCTCTCTACTTTTACTAACGTTGCTTTCTTTCTAAGCATAAAGATCCATTTACCGCATTCAGAAACCTTCAAAATCCTTTTCAGCTTATCCGCATATATATGAAATAAGAAAATTGTTGGCGGTTTAGTGTTTGTCAAATAAATATACACAAAGTTGAATTATTTGTGCAATCATTGCCATATTGTCTTTTTGTAAATATGGTGGGCGAGGCAACACGACCCAAGCACAATACTTTTTTCGCCATGTCACCTACTAAATGTAAAGACCTTGTGTTGTCTCGGAGAAAAACGATTCCCTTTCTAAAAAAACTTTTCATTGTGAGTTGCATTTAGTTTGCGGAGTTTTTCATTGAAGTGACGGTTCCGAAACCTACTCCAGATACCACGAAATAAGTAGCTGGTTATGGTGGAGATGAGTGGGTCACGCAGACCAACATCAAATTAAAATGGTATTATTTAAATTGCTACAGCATAAATGCCACAATCCCAAGACACGCCCGAATTACAAATAAATCTTTGACAAGTTAAAAAAACTGTAAATCAATCAAATAAAACTTCATTCTTCTAAACTTTGCGCACTCCAGAATTTATAGATTTTTTCCCCATAAATAAAATTGAGCTACATATTAAGCAGAAAAACTATATTTTACTTTCTTCTGATCTTCTTCAAAAATAGATTTAAAACTGGTTAAAATTAAATAGGAAGTCAAAAAATTCCATAAAATATCACTAACACAGTTTACTATTGCATTAAATTTAATTTTTTATGAAAGAAAAGGTAAGAAAACTCAAACATTACTACTTTATTTACTATTTATCAAAGACAAAAATAAATAAATACACAACCCATTGACAGTTTTAAATAATAATAAGAATGATACATCAAACAAGACGGGGAAATAATTTTCACCTTTTAATAAACTAATTTACTAAGTAAACCTTTAGTAAACACTAACCAAAAAAGAGGCATTCTTTTCACCCATTGGACAAGAACCACAGCTAAGTACTCCGGAGTGTTTGCTTAAGCTGGAACTAGAAAAATGGATTTAGAAAGAAGAAGCCAAACACTGGACAAACACTCCAGGTATGAAGGAAACTAAGAGATTTATAAATCTCTCAATACGGAGAGCGAAGGAACTCTTATTTCTCAGTAGGCATGGTTTGAGGAGATATATCGGCCATTGTCCTTTAACTATCATCTTAAGAAGATGATAAAACTGAGACGGAAACATGCCCTTTAAAATGTATAAAAACAATAACATATAAAAAAATAATAACACCAATTTGTTTTCTCAACTGTATGTGAACTGGATTGGACAAATTAGTGCCACATAGAAAGGAACAAGGATGAACAAATCATCAGTATATTCAATTTCAATTATTGACATATTGAATGAAAGTATCCATGTGGTTAAACCTTGACACAATTATCTCAAGACCTATTTTCTATGATAGATTTATCATTCGGGACCTGGGCTAATGGAAAAGACTGTTAGCGAACTTTTAAACTGTTGGTAAAAGAAAATGTTTTGAAAACACTACCGAGTTGTCACCTATTTTACAAGGTAAAAGCTTGTTCGAGAAAGACGATAAACTTCGAAAAACCGCTATTAACAATGAAAGTACTAAACTTGTACATAAATAAACATCAACCTTCAAGATAATAAAATAAATCTTTTCATGTTAAAAGCATGCATCAATCTTTTGTCTACGATGTTTACAACTAATGACATGCAGGCCAGGTTAAATCAAAGTGGGCCGAAGTCATTGTGCATTTGTGGTTTTATCTGCCCTTGGTTATCTTCAATAGACACCCGCTGTTCAACGGGGTCGGCGTGTTGCGGTTGTTCGTGGGCGTATTCATGTTTCAACACTCTTTCGGACCTAATTGGGCCGGCTTATTTGCCCCTTTTGTCCTGCTGGAAATTGACGACTTCACGTGTGGAAACCCGGGATAGAAATGGACAAAAGCCGATTATCTACGTGACAAACCTACGCGGTTACGTGATCGATCCCTCTTTGCCTCCGCCCCGACGGAACGAATGGCCGAACTCGTTGGATAATCCGGCTCGGTTGAACCTTGGCAATGGACACCGCCTTCTGGTGGAATGGTGACATCTTAATTTCAATTCTCTACTTTCTAACCTCTTACTTTTCTCAACCTATAGAACACTCCTCGAAAATTATGTATTACAATACAACACTTTGGCCATTGCGTGAAATTGTCACTTGAACTGAATCCATTAGCTTTTAATTGTGCAATAATTTTCTGTTTTTGTTTTGTGTAAGATAATAATCTATTTACTAGACATGTCTAACAACACTTACCATCCCTTTATTTAAACTGATCGGAACTTGAAAACTTGTCCATAGATAGAGCCTAGGCAGACCCGGCAGAGCGATCAAGTGCCGATCAGTCTACTTATGTGCACTGTGTCGCTAAACGTACTGCTATTTACCCCTGGTCACAACGCTAATACTATTGCCAGTAGCGCATACGGAAGGCACAGTTTAGCAACCAGCTATATAGATCGATAGATTAGTCGGGGGTGTTTATTATACTACGTCCTTTAAGAGCTATTGTATCCCCTGTTCTTTTTTCTTCCCTGTATGTCCTAGTTCCTCAAGGAACTTGATTAGTGATTGAATCTCTTCTACGATTACGTTCTATGTCCCAAAACAAAAACAACGTAGCACCATAGTTTGTTAATAGGTGTGTTGGTGTCTCCTCTGCTTCTTTGCAGAATCTGCACGTGCCGTGTTGGGTTATGCCAATCTTCTTCAGTATTCATTTAGTTTGTAGTGTTCTGTTAAGAATCTTGTTAGGATTTGCAGTTTTTTCCTGCTTCTTTTAATACATTCTGTTACCTTTTTTTCCAAAGTTTGTTATGAGTTTCTTGGATTGTTTGTTTCCATTGACTGTAGAAACTAGCTAACTGTAGTACTCAATGTGAGAGCCTGTCCTTCTTTGAGTCACATACGCCAGTCATATATAAAAAACTGTTTGCAACTTGAACTATTACTGTTTGGAAGTTGTAGAGAAAAAAATTCTGCGCCATGCCTTATGCTCTAGCAGATACGAAAAAATAACTTGCGCTACATGAAACCACGATCGACACATGGATTGGAGAAGGGTACAAGGAGCAGCTACACAATTCTTGACGGGTATAATATTATCCTAAAACCACTTATGTCGTAACATCGGAGAATGGCGCGAAATAAACGATTTAAATCAAGCCAGCTACAATATCGTACAAATCTTAATTTTGTGACTGATCACGTAATTTAATCTTACGTGATCTTTAATCTGTTTAATCCTAGTTAATAATTATTGTTACTATTCAATGTTGTGCTATAATTTTTTTGCTAAATTTTACTTATTTATTTATTACGTTATAATTGTGTAATAATATTTATATTTATACTTACTTATTCTTTTTATTGATAATTGCATTGTGTGTGCAACAGCAGCATGTGGGTTTTTAATGACAACTTTTTCCCCACGATATTTGTGGACCGTTTATGCCTAAACTCATTTTAAATTAAAATTTCATATGTCGACGGATGCTGTTGCGCGCAGAGCACTTTCCCTTATTAAAGTTTTTCAATGTACATATATATGAAAAATTGTAAATAAAG